AGAGGTGGAAAAGAGAACAATTGCAAACGCAATGAAGTCAACACACCGATGGATGATTTATCCCTTGAGCTCCCGCCAGCCTGGCAGCTGGTCGGCAAAATCCGACCAACAGGAAGGCAATTGGCATGTCGGCGTGCCAGAGAGCAGATCCCATGACTGATCGTGCCCGACCTCGTCTTTTTTACCGACGTGGGCGCTGCTTACTGAGTGATTCTCATTCTTCTTGTGCTTTTTGGTACGCGTGGGGTTCACGATAAGAAGATATTGATTTAACCTGCTACCCCCCACCGCCGCCGGGAATTTACCCGGTTAATTACTAGTGAGAGGAAGGGAGGCCACTTTGGACTCAAGTGATTGTGCTGAATGACCGCCATCGTGGGTCTAGATTCTCAGAGTCAGCCCGAAAGTCTCTTCTGCAGACTTTTTTTCTAGGATCCTTTACAGGGAAAAGTTAGACTAGTGCTGGACTACGACCAACTGGCTAAGGCCTGCGGCTAAAGTGAAGATCCCGCGGATCGCCTCATGGGATCGAGTTCAGTGCGCTCTGGTACATTCATCCAGACCCGATAGATACACAGTTATCATAGATAATACAATCCCTTCTAATTTGATTCCAAAATCCCACTCCTTGTCTCCCTCTCTACTTCCACCTGGATCACCTATCAACCTTCTATTCTACTCAACTGGCTAGTACTCCACGGCAGCAGACGGGATGTTGGATGTCCCCCTACTATCCATCCTCGGGTATCATCGAATTGGGGGTGCAGAACGCTAGTGAACGACTGACACATGGAGCGGACAGATCTGATAATGCCAATCCATGCTATTCATAGGGACAGAACCTGACCCTTAGCGGGTTTTGCGGGGTTCATGGACATGTTCATGGTCATGCTCATGCTCATCCTCCTCGCCATCCTCTGGCTCAGGACGCGCACGAGAAGTGACATCCGCAGGGATGAACTCCTCCGTGAAAGTCAGCTCCTCGTGCTCCAAGGGGATAAACCGAACTTTGAGACGCTTGACTCCACGCACGCCTTCCCCGACCGCAGTACGGATGGACTCCTCGACCTGGCGGGTTCGGCTGACAGACCATGCGCCTGGCACAGCGATCTCCACATCCATCAAATAGTTCTGTCCGGACTTCATGCCCTGCACATCACGGACCTTGATGGCATCACCATCCTCCAGTTTCGCTAGCATCTTAGCCGCGGCTTTTTGTACCGATTCCTTGATGTCATCGTCAACGTTCGTATCAGCGAGCTCCAGCAGCGACGTCTTGGTGTTTCCCCATCCGGCCTTGATGACCATCAGCGAAATCAACAATCCACCCACAGGGTCCAGCCAGGATGCGTCTTGGAAGAGATAGGTGCCGCCAATCGTAAAGAGAGCGACAATACTGGTCAGGGAGTCGATGCGGTGGTGGATGGCGTTAGAGGCTAGTACCGAGGACTTGCGTTCCGTAGCAACTTTCATCGCTGTCGGGGAAAGGAGCAGTCAGCGATCGCAGTTAGTGTTAGGGCAGGGATTCCTCAAGGTACTCACTAGCATGATATAACCACTCCTTCACCACGATGGACCCCGCAGCAAGCCATGCGGCATGAATGCTCGGGCCCATTGCCTCAACACCGTGGCTATGCGAGTGACCGTGTCCCAGGGCGCCGACATGCGCGATCGCTTCCGCAGCCTGGGGGTAGAACTGATCCAGCAGGACTTGACCGGAATTGAGGCCCATGAACACACCTCCGCAGAGCAACAGCCCGCTAACCCCTAATGCTCCGATGCTCTCGATCTTGCCATAACCATTAGGGAATCGCTCGCTCGGCGGCTTGAGCGACCAGGCGACCGTGCCTAATGTCAGGAAATCGGAAACTAGATCGGTAAGGGCGTGGTAGGCGTCCGCGATGAGGGCTTGGGAATGGAACACGTAGCCGCCAATGAACTTCCCGATGGCCATGGCGAGGTTAGCGAGCAGGCCAAGTCGCGTAATTCGCACACCAGCATCATGTTTGTCGGTAGAAGTAAGGTAGACGTTTCCGTGATGGTGATGATGGTGGTGGTGGCCATGGTGGCCACCGTGGTCTCTGGATTGGGTGGTCATTGGAGGTAGGGTAACGGAGGTAGCGGAGGTGGCTGCGGCGATGGAAGGGACTAGAGTCGGACGTGTGACGGGACAGAGCAAAGCATTGGAGGAGGAGACAACCGGAGAATGAGAGGAGGAGACACTAGGGTTCTTATGGCGCAGACGCGAGAGCGAGGACGAGGACGAGACTCGCAGCTGAAGAGCCCTGGGGAGAAGAACAATGCCGGATCGTCTCCCAAAGGCACAGGCCGGCCGTGATAGCGGAGGATGGGCCCTGCACCACAAGGGCTGCGTCAGCATCCTCGTAGTGGCTTGTCTAATGGACCAGGTTCTGCTGCAATTATATTATTTTGGGTTGCAAATACACGGAGATGTGTCCGGACTGAAACAGCAGCTCCATGGTGGTGCAGTGGATTGTTTGAAGAGAAGAGGAGTAGCCGGAAAGCCTGATTGTCATTGCGAGTCACTCCGTCATGGCTTGTCGGTCGAATCCCCGGCTGAGGCGATGCCGACATGCGCTGACGATTTCGGCCCCGGAGTTGATCCACTGATCGCTTTCTCGATAACAATCTTCCCCCAATTCCGGCGGCTATGATTAGCAGACCCTGCCATTCTCGCTGACAGACGAACTGCACACACGAGACCAATAACCTCCCAGGTAATGCAATCTCGTTAATGCTGGATCTTTCTGTCCGATCTAGAGCGCTGTCTCCCTCCGTGACCTTTTCGCTCTCTCCGCCGATCCCTTCCCTCTTTACCCCTAAGAAGCAACGCAATCTCTGCTTGGCAACTCCTCCAGCTGCGTCACCGGATGCTTGTCATGATCCAGAGCCCCTCTTCGAACCGGAGACAAATATCTGCGTTTGAGGCATCCATAGATAGTCGGTTGGCGGAATTCTAGTGCCGAACGAAGGAGAAGCGGCGTCTTGGCGGGGATCAATCTTTAACAGAAGCTCCGCGACGGACGCTGACTTGCCGAGCAGTTAGATTGCGTGCTTGTTAAGCTTAATAGTCTGCAGTATTCCACTGGAAGAGGTTCAGCGTATCAAAATAATAATCGCAGAGTGACCGTTTAAGACATAGTCCGCTGCGAACTCTATAATGGTTCATAGCTTGGACACACCAGCTGTTGTTAGGTGGACTTGAGCTAGATCTCGAACACGAGCTGTACTATGCTGAGTCTTGTTTATTCGCAAATGGGAAGGCTGCCATTGCACTGCCTGCAAGCCATTTCTTTGATGATACCCTCTGACTGGACACGATCTCGTGACTCGATAGTCATCAGGGCATCATTCACCGTTAAGCTTTGCTCAGCCTGTAAGCCGGCTGATGTCAAGTAGCCTTCGTAGAAGACAAGGCTGTCAGAAGAGCAGATATATTGACCGAACCAGAGACGAAAACAAGTCCATCTTCAGGACAACCCAATATATGACACTGCAGATCTTGTTAGCACGATAGCCCATCGCCAGCGACGTTTCCCCATGCTGCTGCGCCGCCCCTTCAAAGGAACAACCCAAAATACCTCAATCCCTCATCAAGACTTATTCAAGACCTTAGGTACCGCATCAAATGATACTCAAAGAGGTATCTCGGACCTCCCAGCGATCGGCGAATGTGCCGTCCATCTCGAACTGCTCGAAGTATTCCGTAACCTGCGTATCCAGATCATCCAGTCGAAGGAGTTAGACCGCGTATTCCGTCTTGATTCAAGCCGTTCATGGATATCGAAACATCGTAGAGAAACACAGAGGACGGAAAAGTGGCATCGGTTCGTGTCGCTTGCTGTTGAGAGATTCCAGATCTGGAACCGTGCTGCGGAGAAGCAGCTTGAGCGTGATGGAAACAATGAAACGCTTATACTTCCCCCTGTTGGTAAGTTTCACTGTCGGCCATGATGGGCGTATTCATTTTACTGAAACTGTCAGACATACTCATGGTTTGGCACGCATTTTTGCTCAACCCATCCGATTACAAGGAATTCTGTACAAGCCGTCAGCTTGATCGAATTCAGAGAGTGTCTTTCCCATGGGTTGTTATAGTAGGTTTGCACCATGGATTGATATACACAGCATACTAATCAACTAATTCATTGCAGCATGACTGCATCAACCCAACCAACTGGTCATATACCCTCCCCAGCCCCAACACACAATGGCTTGGATCTACAGCAAGCATAACAACAAACCCTCTTGTCACTCTCACAGACACCATTAGCGGAACCCAGTCCACACCAGACCAACAAAACCAAGAAAGACGTCCATCAATCTCCCCCGAAAACGAAGCCCTTCTACACAACGTCCTCCGCCAAATGAACTTCATCGACCAGATGCACGACTGTCTATGGATCTCTTATCCTGATGCCGAAGACATACTAGAGACTGCTCGAAAACGCTACAACAACTTCGTCGAGTTATTTCGTCTCCATCCCGGCGTTATGCTCGTTCCAACGTTGGATATAGATCTAGTCTGGCATACGCATTTATGTAGTGCAGCGCGGTACAGGGGATTCATGATGGAGAGGGTAGGGCGATTTATTAATCATGACGATAAGTTGGGGAAGGGTGCGCTGGATGATGGATTTGAGAGGACAAAGGAGCTGTATGAGGAGCTGGAGAGTCGTGGGGGGGCTTAGATGTGAAGGGTTATTCTGTTGCTATGTTTGGTATGAAACTTGAGGTATGGGTTGCAGTTATGATAGTATTTTATCGTATCATTGTAGTGGTTCTGGCTTGAAACAAGTGACTGAGCAAAGACTTGAGTATACCTCTGAAAATCACCCAGACATTGGGGGAATTTTGACACATTATTAACGTTACAACGGACGAAAGAGATTCTTTTTTGTCAAGATGAGAAGGAAGATTTATGACTGTTCAAGCCTGTTGGCGGAAACGCTTGCAGAGCTCTGTCAGGCTCAGAATCTTCATGCTTCAGCCTGTAAATCACTCCTTTCCTCTAGGTCACCGTAAATCATCCCAATAGATTCAATCCACCGGCCTCCAATTCGAAAGTAGAAACCCTTGATATAACAGTCTTTCGGGGGTTTGAGACTTAGGCTGCTATAAATCTTCCCTGATTCTTGATAAAAGCCGGCCCATTGCTGGTCCCAGTTGGCCTTGAGCTAGTCATAATGAGCGGATGAAGGAAAATTAGGTAGCATAAGTAGACTACTTACTTTGAGCAATGGAAACGCGGACTCTGGACGCACACAAACAACGACCTCCGCAAGAATCCCATCTGGTCCGTGTATCGGGAAATACGTACCATAGTCATCGGTCTGACCAACGGTGCTTGTCCCTCCTGACGAGTAATGTATGGTGATACCTTGTATACCACCAAACGCACTATAGAACGTGACTCCCGATAGATTCTCTGTTAACCACAAAGCCTCGACAGTGAAGTTCCCAATGTTCAATACCATATCTTTCTCAACTTGAGGCTCTCTTGCAACGTAATGAGTCTCATCAATATGACCTTTCCAGAATGCATGGCTTTTCTGCATTAGAAGAGTTTCTGGAAAGGAAATGGTAGTGTCGGAGCACCACCCGATATGTCTGAATTTGAGTGCCTGGATCATTTTGTTAATCTTGGTAACCAGCAGGTGGAGTCGAGTCTTGGTAAGAAACACAGACGTCTCGCACAATTCTAAGCCTCCCTTCCCCTCTCCTTATACTAAGTCCTTCCCAGCATTGATTTCTTTTCGGATCCTCGAAGCTCCACTCTGAACAACCGAACTTCAGACTTCTGATTCCGACAGCGTCCGACAAAAAACAGATAACGTCAACCTGATCATGAATAGGACAGAGTTGAGAGACTAGCTCGGAATGGGTACCAATGCGTTGATGAGTGCTTCTTGTCCGAAGATCAAGTCCGCAAACATAAATATGGCCCTCCATTCTAACTCCATAAACCGTGATCGCTTGAAGATCAATTGGCAAGATTGCGAAGAAATCCCAGAACCCGTAGGCATGATTATTTGATTTTGTCGGGGCGCATACATCCACGGTCGGCGACATCGAATCTATAGCCAGGTTGCCTATGTACTTGCTTACCTCTGTTATTCTAGATACTACCTCCCATCTCAGATCGAGCCCTGCACTGTGGGATTCTAGAAACTCCGAAGAAAGGACAAGTAGCAATCTGCGCAAGGATGTACCTTCGTCATCAGCTGGAAGACATCGATAGAATTGCCTTGGTTCTCGACGCATGAATGAAGCACCATAATCCAGCGCAATCTTGCTGGAGCAAAACAGCCGAATCAGATCCGTCGGTGGAAGGTAATCTAGGATCATGGTCAAAATCTCAAGGGGAAGTTCAAGCAATTGTGAATCACAGCGAGCAGAGTCTGTCTCCATGTACGGCCCAGTGCAACGTGTTGCAAGGTCAGAGGGTATAATAGCAGCATGTGGATCGAGGCAACCTGGGAAGTGATATCAGCACGGTTCGAAATATCCGCTGTAGGATATGACATACTACGCAGCTTCATTTGTGCGTGGTCCCCAAAATTTCTTTGTCTATCTGGCTGTAAGGCCTGACACAATCGAAATAATTGTTCAACTTCTATCTGCGATGCAGCTCGCTCAAGCAGGACTTGATAGCAGGAGGAATGAATGAGGAAGCAATCCGTTGATGTGTAGGAAGGCCAAGGAAACACTTCAGTTCTTTCCGGTCGAGCTTCGTCTTCATCGAAAGATATGTCTTGGTAAACTTCGGACTCGTTGTAATACAGATGACCAAGGTAAAGCTTGCCATCTTCATGGCACACTAGATGGGATTAATTAACACTAACAAGCCCGGAGAAGAGTAAAGCTTACCTATTGTGAAATCCTTTGACCAGTCTACCTCACCCAGCCAGCCAGAGCAAAGCAAGCAACACGAGAAAGCCACAAAAGTCGACATGAGGTATATGAGTAGTGAGAGTGAGCTCTTACAGTAAAGCATAAGGACGAGAGGATTTCAAGGTATATATAGAGTTTTGCCAAACAGTACGTGCTACTGCTAAGTAGTAGTGAAGTAGAGGCAGTAATCGCAGAAAAGGCATGTGTTACTCACATGAGGAGTGAATAAAGCTCCACTGAAAGGAAACAAATCCCAACACTGAAGGCCATAACCTCAACGTGTCAGTGATTCGTTCAATTAAACGGAATCAATGCTCATTTGATGGCTCATAAACATCACTATATCCAATGTATTGATCACTGAACTGAAGGAAACAATGTTCCAAGGTATGTTGAAGTATCTAGTGTGGCATTCCCAGAGTCAACGCTCGCGTTTTCCTATGATCTAGTCCTAGCATTATCAAAATGTAGTGTTTGATCCCAATACGCTCAAAAACTATGCATCCCTATCTCTCAATATAGAAACTAGAAAGAAGTGTCCAACCCTTCATAATTCATCCTTGCTTATTCTGAAGTTGCCATAGGACCCAGAAATTCATTATCAATGTATATACATCGGATATAGTCTGGGAAATTGTGAGCATAAATTCAAAGTTGCATATGAGTGTTTCGTACCATAAACACCGTGCGAAAAGAAAATTAAAACGATCAATAGATGTTAACAATTAGTAAACTCATATCCATTATACTCCTTGGCATACATCAAATAGTTGGAGTAATGATGTTGGCATTTGCACAGACATCAACCACATTAACAGAGAAAGAAGTTGGAGTAACTATCGTGGGTTGGGGTACTTCCTGGCTTTGGTTAAGGGACATGTCCCTTGATCCCCTGCCAACAATGTTTCACAACATCTGATAAATAGAGCTTCATGGAGATTTTGGAGATACCAAGGACTAATCTGTAATCCTTGTCAACAAGTGCCTTGTTGTAATCTCGGGTTAGAGCATTACTAAATCTCTTAGTGTGGACCTTGCCAAAACCTGTTGTAGGATGAAGTCCTCCAAAACTAGTTCTAGTTCTACTTGTGCCCCTAGTGATACCTGCTAGTCTTATGGGGTGCAACTAATATATTACCTTAATTAAAAAGCGGTTCTGCACTAATGCTACCTTAATCAACCATGATCAAGCCAGGCTCTCATCAAATCCTGATGATGAAATTGCAGCTTGTGTAGATGTTACGCTGGATAGCGTACGAATTTTTTCATACCTAGGATGAATCTTCCTAGTCTAATCTGTTGCTTGCTTTCTGTTCTATTTGCGGCTCCATCAAATTACTAACCTTACAGAAATATATCAACTCAATACCCGATAAGTGCTGTGTCGACTTGACCGGCATGGTTGTGACTGAGATGATAAGATCATCCAAATCCGCTACCAATTATTTTGAGATTTTGTATTAGGGTTAATGACAAATAACTTGGTCTTCTTCTGGGTACCTTTCTTGGTGCCTTACATTCTTAGCCCCAAATGCGTTATATCTAAAACATCATAACAATATAACATCTCCGCCTTGTAGCCTTCCACTTTGCTCCTAGAGATGATATGATTTCAATACATAGATCCTCGCATCTACGCCCATCAAATGACCCATGCTTAATATTAAACTACAGAACTACATTGAAATGATCGTCAAATCTGATGCGGTATTAATTGAAATTTTGAAGTTGCGAGACTAAAGTCGAGAGTGGTTGACGCGGGTTGGAGTAAACTTCTCCAAAAAGCTGGGTCGCTTCTCCGAATGATTTCAGCGGCGAAGTTGGAGTAGGTTCAACTCAACCCTGACAAATACATATAGATAGATGCCTTGTAAGGTTAATTATTGTCCATGCCGTCATATAATAATCGAGATATAAAAATGAGCTAGATCCATCCATTCTTGAGCTATGTGATAATCCTTCAAGCCTCCTCACTGAGTAATAGTTATACGACAACGTCTTGGGAAAGCTTCGGAACTCCTTTGGGCGGGCCGCAATCTTGATCAAGTTACTTATTCTGCTCTTCTATAACAACCATATATCGTCTCATCCTTAATCAAATCTACGCTTTTCATACTCTTAAAATCGGGCGCCAGCACAGCAATATGACGACCTCTCCACTATTCAAGCCTCTCAACATTGGACAATGTCAGCTCCAACACCGCATTGTCATGGCACCCATGACCCGATTTCGCACGGACTCAGACCACGGACCTCTGCCAATCGCCAAGGAATACTACAGCCAGCGATCACACACACCAGGCACGTTAATAATCACCGAAGGCACAGCCGTATCGGAAAAGCTCGTGGGTCTTCCCCAATGGGCAGGATGTTGGAGCAAAAGCCAGCTGCAGAAGTGGCAAGCCATCACTGAAGAAGTTCACGGCAAGGGTTGCTATATCTTTCTGCAGCTTTGCTGTGCAGGTCGCACGGCAGACAAGGGATTTCCCAAGCTCTCATCTGGCAATATCCCCCTCGAGGCTGAAGCCAGTGCTATAGAGACTGAAGATGATGATAGACCACCGGAGCCGATGAGCGAGCAGGAAATCCATGACGCCATACGCGACCACGCCACTGCTGCCCGCAATGCCATAGCCGCCGGCTTCGATGGTGTGGAGCTTCACGGTGCTAATGGCTATCTCATCGATCAATTTATCCAAGAATCTTGCAATAATAGGACGGATAAATGGGGTGGCTCGGTTGAGAATCGCTCGCGCTTTGCACTCGAAGTCACTGCCGCTGTTGTTGATGCTGTTGGTGGTGATCGTGTTGGCTTCCGCATCAGTCCTTGGAGCACATACCACTCTATCGAGCCTCGGAATCCGGAGTCTCAGTTCACTCATCTGGTTACTGAGTTGCGGAAGTTGGACCTGGCTTACCTACACGTCATTACGTCTCGTGTGGACAATTGGTATGATGTGGACCGTGTAAAGCCTCTTGATTTTGTCTTTGATAGCTGGCGAACAGACATACCTGTCATCATCACTGGGGGGTACGATGGAGATTCTGCAAAGCGCGCTGTTGAGGAGTATAAGGACTTCAAGCTCGCCGTTGGATTCGGTCGGTCGTTCGCTTCAACGCCTGATCTTGTGGCTTGCATCAAAATGGGTATCGCACCAAACCCTTTCAATGGCGACCTGGCCTATACTCCCGGTACCCCTAAAGGGTACATCGACTATCCTTTCCTATCCTAAGTTTAATATAAAGGCACTATGCCCTCGAGCTAGAATTCTACATACATTTCCTTCAGATCATGATGCATCTCCCCGTCCGTCCTCAACCTCTGTAGCTTCCTCATCATCAGTGCCCTCTATATCGATGCAGGGAATGCTTGTATATAGGCCCTTCGCTGCCAGGGTACCCTGTCGATCTCAACCATCCGAATATCCCACGTGTAGCTTCTTCGGAATGTGCCTGTGAGGAGAAATCATACGTATAATGGTCGGGCACGGGAAGGTTCTTTTCATGAGCGGGATGTACTGCTTTTTATGGCGGTTGGTAAGCTTTTACTGCTGGATTTCGGATGGAATAGCCATTCTCCAGAATCCATTCCCAGCATTCATACTGAAGGGAGGAAAGAGGTGCTGTTGCCGGTCAGGGGAAACCATATAAGCACGCATGCTGCATACGCATTCATAGTGAGAGTAGGGCATGTATATTACTAGTATAAATGCCAGAGACTGACAGTCATGCTTATCACTCGTCGGAGTTGTTATTACCACTATTGTACTATCTCTCGTGACACTTTCAAGCTTCCGCTATGGTCTTCATCATCTATCCCAACCACCAACACATTTCTATCTTTAGAACAATGTTCGGCCTTAGATATGTCCTAGGACACGGCAGAAGATAACTCTAAAATCTTGTCGATCATGAGATCTGTTGTTGGAAACATTGACTGGAAGGAATAGAGCCATGTCCTTTGACACTCCGGACAATGTTGCGCGCCAAACCAACATAATGAAGCAAGACCTTATGATTTGGGACTAAAGCGCAACATCTCCCGTTGCCAGTAAAATATTCCAACATCACAAATGCAAGCGGTTCCAAGCGGGTGGAAAATGTCTGGGTCCTCGCTGTGATGGCGGATGGGGTGCCTGGGGCCAGCCAATGCCAACCCGTCAATCTAGCGCCAGCTGTGCGTGCCTCGTCTCTTTGGCGTCTCTCCCCTCTTCCCCTCTCCAAGGCGGCAACCACTCGATATCACATCTCCTCTCACGCTATCTTCTCTAGCGCAGCTTCCATGTAGTGTCATTGCTCATCACACTGGGCGTCTGTCGGGTCGGCCAAGTCCAACCCATGGCGTATACTAACCGCTGCACTTTTCCAGCACGACACGCTGGAAAGTCAGCACAGCTGATCCGTTGGGATTCAGATAAACACGCAGGACTTATTGGCTAACAATGTTTCATGGTGTGATTCCAAGTCGCAACATTCGTGGTGTCTCCCGAAAACCATGGCCTCGAAAGGTGCTTCATTGATAGGCCCCAGTTACCTGCTGCCTCCAACCATACAATATAAATATCCAGCCATCGACATGATCCGGAACCTGCTTCTCTGCCTGTTCAATCTTATCATTCAAGAACAATCTTTATGCCTGGTGCACATATTTTGGTATATACCTCGTGCTCATAAGTCGTCGTAATGATCGACCTCCTTGAAGTGAAAAGACGCTACGAAGCCGTGCTGGCAGTTGAAGATAGCAGAGACAAGATTCTTCAGGTACTTTTCTTCACAGCATAACGCATATTCAAATTATTAACCTCTTCTTCGACAGAACCTGTTTGCTCAAGTTGAAAGCCTGCAGAGAGCTCTTCAAAACACGCTTGGTGATGCGAAGTTCCAGGAATTGAAGAAGTATAAAACAGAGTACGACGACTTGCGGCTTGACCAGGTACTTCTTCCCTCCTGAATGTCTCGCTTCCTTAGGCTCATACAATTCCACAGTCCAAGTTAAGTTTTGTATCTGTGCTTGTCGACGGTGACTGCATGAATGTAAGTAAGCGTCTGTCTATTGTCTCGTCCTTTACTGACAACTTAGTTCAACGATACTCTCATCCGACAAGGCTACAACGGTGGACGCAAGGCTGCCATGCTTCTCCGAAAGTCCGTCGAGCGTCACATCCGTGATATCGACCCCCAGGCCAGCCCAAACATTCAGTACCGCATCCGAGTGTACGCCAACGTTCCGGGTCTGATGAAGACGTACCGGGAAGCGCACATATTGCGTTCCAATGAAGCGCTAGATCCATTCATTCGGGGATTCAATATGGAGAACAGCCTGTGCGATTTTATCGATGCAGGAAACGGCAAGGAGTGTTCAGACGTCAAAATACGGGGTACGTCGCCCTCTTCGCCAAATCATGGAATGTACTAACCACCATCATAGCAACATTCGAACAAGACATTCTAGACGTCCACTGCCGTCGTATCGTCTTCTGTGGCTCGACCGACAATGGCTACGCACGCATCCTCGGCTCCCACCAAGGATCCAACCGCATCTCGCTCGTCCAGGGAGCACCCTTTGCATGGGAAATGGAGCAGCTAGCAAGCGAGTTCCAAACCACATCCTTCCCGGAGGTCTTCCGATCCACAAAGTTACCCTCCCGAGCATCATCCTTCAGCGCATTCAAAACCGCATCCGCCAACTCGTCACCCAGCAGCTCTCCAACCAGCCTCAGCACGCCATCAACGCCAAAACGCAACTACGCCACAATTGCCAAGTCGAACCTCCAAGCGACATCCCCCACCAGAACAAACAGATCCAAGCGATCGAAAATCTCAGTCATAACATTCGACATCTCCCCCTCATACGACACCCATATCCAATTCAACACAGTCCAGCTTAACAGTCAGAGCCAACGGGTTGACCCGCCACCCCGGGCCAGCAGCAGAGAGAACTTTGAAAGATTACGAAGATCGAGGTACTGCAGTAGATATCATATTCTAGGAGAGTGTCCCCTTGGCGATGAGTGCGGGCACAGACACGGACGCCGACTTGGATCCAGGGATGTTCATGACCTCTGGTGCGTTACGCGAACGTGCGTCTGTCCGAATGATATCTGGTGTACGGATCCCAAGTGTATTTGTGGACATCAGTGTCCGTGGGAGAATCAGCAGGGACATTGCAGTGCAGACTGCAAGTTTCCCGAGTCTATGCATGGGGTGGATAAGTCGGTTGCGGTGATTTTGTAGTAGCTTAACTATTTAATGAGAATGTATTTTCTTGAACCCATGTTATATACACCATCATCACATCATTACATTCCTTATTATATCCATCCCCCCACTAACTGAATCTATAACGACGCTCTAGCCTGACGATCGCTTCACACTATCAGAACAGTCACATGAATTTTTGCATAAATATCTTTTTTTACAAAAATAATAGACACTCCAGTCTAGTCACAAAGAGAAATGGGAAAAAAAAGAGGAGAGAAAACACCCACTAAGCAAACAAAAACTTCGCCGCATGTTCCACATGATCATCCGAGAACGTCGCCATAGTATAATAACTGTGATCGTAATCAGGCTGGTACCGAATCGTCACGCCCTCCACACCAGCCTCCTTGGCAGCTTTCTCGAAGTTCTCAGGAAGAAGTTGGCCCTGCTTGTAGAAGTTGTCTCCGGTGCCCTGTACACACAATCATTATCAGTATACATCTCACAATCCAACCTAAAAGGAGAAAAACAAAGGGAGAAGAAGGTGTGAACATACAACATCAATCAAAACATCCAACCTCCCACCCTTCCACTTCTTCAACAATTCCGTAGCATCATGCTCCTTCCACTTCTCCTGCTGATCTTCCCCAAAGTATCCCGAAAAGGCCTTTTGTCCCCACGGGCAGTTAATCGGGTTGGTGATGGGCGCGAACGCAGACACGGACTTGTATTTGCCGGGGTTGCGGAGGAACTAACCCGAATATTAACTTATATATTCCAACACCATAGATAAATAGAAGGTAGAAAGGTAGAAGGTATACACGTACCAAAGTCAAAGCACCATGTCCACCCATACTATGACCCGTGATACTCACCCGCTCACTATCCAACTGCGGGAAGGCAGCAAACACCGTCGCGGGCAATTCCTCCGTGATGTACGTGTACATGTTATATCCATTGTCGTAGGGCGCCTTGGTCGCGTCAACGTAGAAGCCGGCGCCCGTGCCGAAGTCGTAGCTGTCGGCTTCGCCGGGGATGTTGAGGCCGCCTATATCGCCCCACATCCAATGTATTAGCATACTCCAATTACCATATTTCATGAGGATAGATGTGATAGAGTTCTTGAGATAAGCAGAGGGGGAAAAAGGTAGCGGGGGGACATACGAGGACTCGTATCAGGATACAACACAGCAATACCCTTCTTACTGGCACCGTGCTGGAAGAAGCCCTTCTCGGAGCAGTTCTCGGCGGTGCAGGTCAAACCCGAGAGGTAGATCAGGACGGGGACCTTGGCGGAGGGGTTCCGGTAGGCTTGAGGGGGTAGGTAGAGGTTGAAGCCCATTTCACATTTGGTGGAGGTGGCGGCGTGGGTGAGCTTCAGGAGCTTGCCGCCGAAGGAGGCGATGGTGGCTTTTGTTGTGACGGACATGGTTGTATGTATGTGTATACCTTTGGGTTTTGTGGATGGGGTAGAGATGGAGATAGGAAGGGAGAGAAAGAAAGGGTGGATGGTTTATTATATCAACAATGATGAGGGGAAATATCGGATGAGGGGAAAATGAGGGGCGGTGGATCCTCGAATTCCCGGAAATTTTTGCCGTTTGAAGTTATCGACGCTATCCCGGATTTATCATCGAGACAATCTAGATGGTTGAATAGATATGTATGAACTGTAGAATTAAACTAACTACCTTGCCATGCTATGCCATAGGTATCATATTCCCTTCCCAAAATGTAAAGAACGCCAATGCTTATCATCCATCTCCAATCATTACGCCAAAAACACCGCGGGGATGCCGTAGATCACCGGCGCCGCTCCGTTCAAGTACCTCAACACACAGGCCTGCCGTGACTGGCAAACCGCATCATCCAAAGCCACTGCCTGTTCACGTCCCCCGACAAGGCCCCATTTCTCCAGCGTGCTCTTGGCAAACCGGTCAATGTCCTTGTCCGTCACATCCCACAGAGTGGCCACCAATGCCGGACTCCCCGCATGCAAGTAGTTCATCGGCGTGCCGTACGGCTCGTACTCGCCGGCTTCCGTCAGAGCACCACTGCTGCAACCCATCAGGAATGTGATTGCGCATCGGTCAAGACGCTTGATCGTCCGCGCCCGGCAGTACTGTGCGCCACTGCCGTGCCCGAAATAAAGGAACACGTCGTTCGATTCTAATCCGTTCTTAAACTCTTCCTCTGTAGGCTCCCGGTTGGCCACTCCGCTCCACCCCTCCAGCTTCAACAGGTCCTTCTCGAAGGTGCCCTGTGTGGTTTGCAGATCACCGGTGGGGTTGAGGAAATATGTGCCATTCTTGCGGTTGATCATAAAGCCAGCACTGTTTTCCGCACCTTCGTCGCGGAATCGCACGATTCGGTCGCGAAGACATTCCAAGGAGGGCACACGGCACACCGGGAATCCCTGGAGACACGGAAGGGACTCCCACGGGAACATATGCAATGACTTGTCCAACACCAGAACAGTCCGGTTGGGTGAAGGGTTGCCCTGCTCTTTCCGGACTTGCTCGTGATACCCCCTCAGAGAGTCAAGGGTTTCCACAACCATCATGTCAAAGTCGATTTCATCATATGCGTTGCGCTCACCCTGAAATTGCAAGATATCAACAACGAAGTAGAGAAGGTCCATCAACGTCTCTTCGGGATCTTCTTGGTCATCCAGGTCCTTGACACCGATGAACAGTTCAAGCACATTCGGATGAAGTGTCAACCGCGGACTGGCTGCCCGACCGCCCTTGCGGCGCGAGGGAAGATGCTTGTCCAGGATGTTATGGAATGCATCTGCAAATCGTGCAAGCGAACGAGTCTCGTGAGGGACCGGGGAGAATATTCCGCGGAATCCACCAAACCAGACAGTCTCGATATGTTGCAGAAGAGCTTCCATCCGACGGTCCAGTGCTTCCCGGTTCTTCCACCAGTCCTTCTTCATCTGCCGGTCGGTTTGGTGCTTAGCTGCATGCGCACTTTCGTTGGCCAGTCGAATCAGCTCTTGCATATCTCCCTTGCCATCCTCGAATGTGTATTGCTCCTCCTCATCCTCCGAACTCCCACGCTTGAGAGGCAAACGCAACAAGAACGGCGAACGACCCTTTTGCAACCGAGAAACCACAAACTCGGTACGGTCAGTGCTCAAGGACAAAGAAAGGACGTTCCAGTTCTCCGGAAGAATATCAACATATTCTTCGGTAAAACGGGAGCAGAGATCCTCTTCCGGTACCATTGCAGATTCAGCAGTCGGCCAAAGCAGGGGGTCGCAGTAATCCGCAAGTTGTTTGTCAAGAGTGATGGCAGCATGCTCCCGTGTAAACGCACCAATGCGGCCAACCTCGTTCACATTTGCTGGTGACTGAGAGAGCGAAACGAGGTTATCAAGTGCCGTGACATGGGTCAACATGGAGATACGGCTCATCAAGCGAGAGGCGGCATGGCTGTCAAGAGTTGATCCGAGGGTCGTGGCAAGCGGGAAGATGGTATTCAGACTCTCGCTCGCTTTGGCGAGCATCACAGAAAAGTCCTCTGTCGGCTTGGGCGTCTTAGAGCGTGTGCCTCTCGTAGCCGTCTTTGCTGGCGCTCGTGTCCTGCGAGTGGTAGTTGTTTTACTGCTGCTGGTCTGGCTCGCCGCCTTACTTGGCGACTGGAGCGATGGCAGGGAGATGGTCGATTCAGGGAGCACACAGTACACTGCGTGAGTGGCGAAGTTCCGAATGGCATCAGCGAGTAGATGCTCACTTTCGCCAATGTGCAGGGAGATCTGACTGTCCCGAGAAGTTGCAAACTTGCGTGCATCCTCCAGCAAGCTGGACGCCTTTTCAAAGTCCCGTAGCGAACGTAAGCATGCTGCCTGCTGCCGAAGAATGTCACTCCGCAAATGAAGAAGTGACGTCGAATCTGTCTCTGTCGATTCGGAGCCGGCGCTTGACGTCTTGGGCGCGCTTGTAGTTGCTGCACGAGTTCTGCGGGTCGTAGTCGCCGCCCGTTGCCTCGTGTTCCTAGCAGTGCCTTGGACCTGTAGCTTTTTCATCTTATCATTAAGGTCTGCTACACCCGAGAGAACGTCTAATGACTCAGAAGCGCCACACTCAGCCATGAGCCTGTCAGCTTCGAGGAGAGCACGGTGTTCGTCGCGGTAACGACCCTGTGCTCTATGGAGAGAAGCAAGACCGATCTGCAAAGAAACAAGCTCAATGCTGTTGTCAAGCTGCTTGGACAATGACTCAGCCGCTGCAAGAAGCTCCTGGCCTTCCTTCATATGCCCACCATAGATCCAGTGCGAGCCAAGCTGCGCTTGTGACGCGATCAAGCGAACGTTGGCGTTAAGTGTCTTGTTAATCTTCAGCGCTTGCTCTCCGTAGTAGATGGCGTCCTGGAATAAGCCGTGATGGGCGGAAAGGCTCGAAAGATTCAATAGAGCCATGTGATGTGAACCTATATGAGGCCAAAACGGGGCACCTTGTGAGTACACGGCCAGGGTTGCGTTCGATTGCGAGACCTCGAGTTTCGCCATTCCTTCAACCACAGTTTCCAGCTCAGAGTTTTCGGCTGATTGAGCGATCTTGTCTTGTTTTCTCTGCGCAAGCTTTTCGATCTTAGCCCAAATCCTGCAATTCAGCCTAACAGACAGTTTGCCGAAAAATAGAGCATCATTGATTGAGCCCTGAGCGAAAGATAGTCGGGAGCTCATGAATGCCGCGTCGGCCACCAATCTCTCCCACATAAGCTTCGACAATACCGAGCAGGCGTTGAGATCTTCCTTCTCCTGGTTCTTCTCATACAGAGTTCGGGTTGCTGAAAGTGTACTCGCTGCTTTCTGGATTTCACCAACTTCGAGAAGGTAGCCCACGCGAGCTAGCTTGTGTGAAAGCGTTGCCAAACAAGAGATGTCGCGCTGACTGAGATATTGATCCGCTCGGCTCAATAGTTCGTCCGCCTTCGTGCAGTATCCAAGGCGACTGTATTGGAGTGCCAGTCGTGAAAGAACGATGATCGCTTCCGAGAAATCGCTAGATCCGCGAAGCTCAGTCACTCGTAAAACAAGTTCGAGCGTCGAAAGCTGCAACTTCCATAGTCCATGAATTTCGGTATAGTCGACGATAGCTTTCATTTGTAGCAAGAAGTGATCAACGTCGCCAACGCTTAAAACTACGGCGTCCCAGTCATTGCACTCTCGCATCATTAGATTCCACCAACTTAGCACACTCTCCAAATCCTTTGGCTGAAGAGTGCCTTCATGCAGTCCTAGCGTAAGCCGGACGGAATTCTGGATGTGTCCTGCAAGAGGAGAGAGGTCTGAATCGTCACCGAGTTCTTCCATTTCAAGATCGCTTGAACCAGTTTCAATGACGTTCTGTAGTATAGCAGAATCCAGGGAGCCCGGGTATTCGAGGGAGAAGCGCAAGGTGGTAAGCACGACCCGCAATCGCCGGAGTGGATGGGCTTCTGGGGAGTATAGTTCGAAAAGCTTGGTCAGGAGCACACCGAATGTAGACCGGAACGAGTTATCAAGTGTAGAAGCGGAGGCCAGGTCCGTCATGATACCTAGCTGCCATTCGAGAAGATGCCCGCGCTGGAGAGGGGTCAGATTGTCATTGTCGAAGACGCCATTTTCTTTTGTCGACTTCCTTCTCAGGTTCATCTTCAGAAAAGCATAGAGTACACGGCCAAGCATGAAGCCACCGCTCTTGGGATCCTGGCACATCCGATGGGGGAAGCACCCTTCTGTGATAGAAAGGACTTGGTCGAGTGTGCCGGTCAGTAGATGTTCCTCGATAGATTGCTGAAAGGCTTGCTCAGCCTCACGGCCAGCATTAGCTTCTAGATAAAGATGCGCAAGCTTCTCGTATTTGAGAGGCGTAAATCCCGCAACCTTCTGAGCCGGCGAGCAATTCGACAGGAGCGTCGCAGACTGCTTCAGCACAGGCAAAAGTTCGCGAACTCCTTTGCCAGACTCCCTTTCCTTGATGTACCGAGACCAAAAGAGATTTGACAGTTTCACGAAGCAGATACCGATGCTTTCGGCAATAGAATCGGACGCTTCTTCCGCTGACTCCATCGTCATCAGCAGGCGTTGGCTATCTATCAATGTTGACTGCATTTCCTCCCATGGCGGTCTCTGTGACAAGACAGATAGCTTTCCAATGGCGTTGACAGAATCGATAGCTGCAAGTGCAATATTCCGAACTGCAACAACACGCTTCTGAAATGGTTCGATTTCCTTTCCTTCGTCTTCGGCAGGTTTGCGCCCAACATATCGTCGCAGAAACCTAACGAAACCGTTCAAATATCCGTAGATGCGATAAGAGACATCGTCATCGTCTTTCTTCGGGCTTTTTTCCCTCGAAGCGATGTCTCCAAAAAGACCCATGGCGAGTTTCTTCAGTTTGGCTGCTTCAACCAATAGTTCATCAAGGTCGTTCGCGCTACCTTTGAGTGGCATACATAGAACATTGGTGGCTTCTTTGATTGCCTTTGCCAGCCCGGAAGAATACTTCGTAGCCTGCTTCAAAGCTTGAACATGCAATGATGCAATCTTACAGCGGACGGTAGCCAGAGAGAGACATTGTCCGTCAGAGAGAGGAGTCAGAGTTTCCGTGTACAATTGCAAGGCTTCGTCGAAGCATCCCGCTTCCTGAGCGAGCTGGCCCAGAATTGTCGCAATCCTCGCCACTGATATATTATCGTTCATGCTGGGTGAGGAACGTCTTTGGACGCCGGTAAAAGTCGATTGCAGTCGAACGATGGTCTTGTAGGTGAAGGCGAATTCGGATTTCGTAATGCCTTTGCTCTGATGAGCATAGCTAGCGACATATCGTGCCAGGGGATCCCACATCTCCTTAGCATCATCGCAAACATGTCCCGAGGTCTTCCAGGACATGCAACGAATCTCGAGTGATAAGAGTTGAAGAGTTAACGATGTAGTCGGCTTTAGTTTGTTCGTTGAAGATTGTTGTGAGCTAGAGGAGAGAGATAGCACTGTATTAGACAAAAGTTGGAGCTGCATTGCGGCCTTGTCGTTGGTAAGAGCTCCTGCTTCTAGAGCAGCCAGAGTCACATTTGCCGGGCTACTCGGGTCCGATAATTGCAAGGATGGAGTCGCGTTCTGAACAGTAGCGGCCTTCTTTTCGGAAGAGATGAGACGGAGCGCATTCGACTGGTATGACACGATGAGACCATACAGAGAGCCCGCATGGCTGATGTTAGAAAATGTTAGAAGATCAGACATCCGTTCCTTGGTTGTTTCGCCTTCCTGTTCTACCGGGCTCCCTTTCCGGCTTGAGCCTTTACTTCCACCGCTGGCTCTGCTATCGAGGTATTGTTGGATCCTTCTCTTCAGTGCTCTGAGCTCCTTGTAGGCCAAGTCACCCAGGCCCAATGAGAGAAACCTTCCTGCCAAAATACATGCACCTTGTTCGAGTTGTACGTTGGGTGTCCCTTTCTCTTGATCGGTCTTCAATGTCCTTAAGCATGACAGCGACATAGCCGCGCACTCAGCCACCGCTAGTATTCCATTATCTGTTTTAGTTGTTGCACTCTGTAGGGACAATTTCGACTTTCTGGGGGATTTCGCGACACGGATGGGAGAGGGTGATTCGCGAGGGGTGCTAGTCGCGGATGATCGGGCATCATCGCGTTTCGGCGATTGTAGCTTCACTGCTTCTGAAAGTGTTTTTAATGTCGAATTAAAGACCTCTGTAGCGAGAACAAGCTTCTCTTGGTTCGATAGACGCGCCGCATCCTGATCGACCACTGTGCTCAAAGCCGCTTCGGCCGCAGAGACCGTCGTCCGCGATCCTCTGGTTGTTTTCGTTCGACTTGTAGCGGACGTTGCTTTTGTCGTCCGGCCTACCCGCTTCACTGTCGCACTTTCGATATCTGGGGACGCCTTCGACGAACCGCGGAGTAATGTTTGGAGGGATGAGACGGTGCCATTAGAGCATGTGGAGGTTGAGCGGACGGCCTGCTTCACCGATTCTACAGGAGAACCGGGGAGTAGCGTCGAGACCGTCATGGTTGGCGGAGTTTGAATGTAGACAGTGCTGCAGTCACTGACAATTGAAGGTCGTGGGGGTTCGTTCGAGCCATGCCTTCGATGTGATCATGACAGCCGGGCGGGAGCCAAGCAAAGGCGCGCGTTGTCGCAGCAACCACTCAACGCCTAAGCCCAAACCGGACTAGTGTAATCTGGCCCCGAATCTCCGATTGCCTCAGGCCGAACTCTGCGGCAGATAATTGTGTGCCACAGCAAGTGTACAGACACTCCAGTGAGCAGCTTTGGGAGCATCTCGACGTCGCAATTCGACACAGTCCCCAGGACGGACCTCTTCATTATGAACTCAGCACGACTTTCCCTCCGGCATCTGGCCCAAGCGGCCCCAGCCCTCCGACCTGCCGGCGCTTTCCACATTCCAACAAATCAATTACAGTGTCGTCTACAGTCCACTTCTTCCAAAGCGATACCCAGATTCGCTCAAACGTCACTATGGACATCGATGATTCCCAAGTTTATCCGGAACCGCGGCGCTAAAGAAACCAAGCCGTATAAGCCGAAATCCAAAGAATGGAACCCCGCAAGTTTCTACATCATCATCTTCATCTTGATCGGATCCCAGGCTATCCGGATGATCGCATTGAAGAACGACTATGCGGCGTACATACGATCAACAGATGCGAAGATTAGGCTTCTTCGGGAGGTCATAGAGAGGGTGAATAATGGGGAGAAGGTTGATGTGGAGAAACTGTTGGGCACTGGAGATGAGGCGAAGGAACGAGAATGGGAGGAAGGTCAGTGCTTGCATGCTCTTGATTTACCGTTCTACCATACTTGGAACCCTGCTTTTACTGACTCGGGGCTCTTCTCTGATATAGTACTACGCGAGATCGAAGCAGAAGATTCATTGTGGCATCGCAAGGCGGCCGCGTCGGAAGCTCAGCAAGAGCAGGTCGAGGAGCCAAAACAATCGATTATGAAGTCAATCATTAAAGATCCTGCTGTACCTGCAGAGGGACCTCAGGATAAAGGTTTACCTGCGGATAGCCCGTCAAAGAAGAAGCTCAACTTCTTTTAAACAAGCGTGCGTCTATCGATGGTCAGCATCGCCGCACGGACTTACACCCGAGGCTACTATCGAGATGCGTTCCTCGAATGATGAGAACGAACCGTGCTTATACGCCGGACAAAGTTCCATAGGTGGTTGCTGTCGGGGGTGCAGAAACTGCTCGGGACATGGTTCTCAATCATTCCCCAATCCGGAAGTAGCGAAGAGGAGATGACGATATCTAACAGGCCATGCATAGTCCTCGTTTGCTTGAGCGTGGCCATCATCTGATTTTACTTTGCATAAATACGCTTTGTTCCATCTCCTACTCTTCAATTGATACCCACATAGCTTTCAAATGTATCCCAAATCATGTACTTTTTGTGGGAGGCATTTTGGACAGGTCATATATCTGTATTATAAACTCCTATAAATGAGATGAAAGGACACTATCACAATCTTGACCAACAATTCACAAAGTGAATTAATAGGAATGACTTGGGAACGATGTAGAAATTCTGGGGGAGGTCTAGAGCAGTTTCAATGACCAGATATTGGATGAACCATGTGCTAACGACATTTAGATTAGATCAACAGTGCTGGTACAGCAGCATGTAATGACGTCCCCGACCTTGGATATCTGAGACAATATCTGCAAGAATATATATCAAACCAGGGTGACCCCGGAACAGCTTGATTCGGACCTGAAATGAAACGGATCGCAACTGTCCATCCTGAAACTTCTAACTGCTTTTGGTACATGTGCAAATGCAAATAGCGTCTGTGTAGTACATAGAAACGGAGGTCACAGGAAAGTCTTTGCTCCAAGCCAGAACTCTAAGAACCAAGGAAAACGAGTTGGGTAGTATGACATGAAAAGATATTTCCATTTAAACAAAAGGAACAAAAGGAAAGAGAAACCAATTCGTCGCTATGAAAACATGAAGATGCTTATCTATTGCTTGGACTGCTGAAGGAACTTAGGCCAACGGTCCGCCGAGGGGATCGGAACGCGGCCAATGTTTTGATCCAAATCCAGGATCAGCTTGAGGGCGTTCCTGGATCTGAGGTATGGCAGAGGAGCCTTGGCAGTCTGCAGGCCGACGCCAGGTTCGATTTGTCCCGCCGGGGTAACTTCCGGTTCAGACCCGGGCATAGGAAGCATCTTCTGCAGGATCTCATAGGCGGCAAGTGTGAAGCCGAACTGTGGGGATGAACGAATGATACGAGCCGGGCCTCCCTTGAAGAAAGCCTTGAATCCTTCATCCCTCCAAACAGTGGCCGCGCAGTGACGCAATCCGGTGTACCCGACCTCACCCTTGCGGGCTTCGACCTGCAGACGGGTCTTGATCACGTCACACGGGGTAGTAAGATAGGCTGCGGGCATACCAGCAATAGCACCTGCGGTGAGCAATTGCACGACGCCGAGCTTGTGAGTGGGCGACTCGCCGAAGAAGTCGGACTTCAGGTGCGCATAAGTAGGGAAGTAGATGGCGGAGAACGGGACTGGCAGGTAAACAATTAGAAGGGTTCTAGCAACCAAACAACGGGGCGCGAATCACTTACCATCACGGAGCAGACAGGCACTTGCTCCCTTGTACAGACCCATCAAACCCAGGTTCTTGACGATCCAGAGGGCAGAGCGGCGAGGAGCACCCTCAACAGACTTTGCGATCTCACCCTGGACTTGGAGACGAATCTTCACAATCTCCAGAGGGTTGGTGAAGATCTAAAACGGGGTTGCAGTTAGCGTATTGAGCCTCTTCAATGAATTAGAATCGCTGTCAGGATAACTTACAACTTGACAAGCTCCGGCAGTACCACCGGCCAGGATCTCGTGACCAGTCCAGATCTTTCCATTCTCCTTGTTGGTGAAGTGCCCACGCACAAGGTCGTTCACAGTGAGCTTAATAGCCTTCTCGGGGGCGACACCGATCAATTGAGGGACGACACCAGAGTACAAGCCGGTAAAACCCTCGTTACGGATCACTTTCCTGAAGCAATCCAGCGAGTTGTTGTAAAGTCTCTCTCCGACGCGAGTTGAGCGCTGGTTCTGCATACGGGTCTTCACAAGATCAATGGGGTACACCATGAAGGCTCCGAAAGCACCTGCAAGACTGCCCAGGGCGAAATGGTGGACGGACTCCAACACGCTGTACAGCACCGACTTGGACTTCTCGGCAACCTGGTGCGCCTTATCCGACGCAGCTTGTCCAGCAACTGCGAGGGGCATACGCCACGATGCGTCAATGACCTTGGCGAAATCCTTCTGCGAAAGTCTTCCAGAGGGAGCATCCAATCCAGCGAAGTGGAAGAGGATGTCGGCCTCCATGGGGGTGAAAAGAGAGAACCGGGTAACACGAGCGGCAGCATTCAAGAAATCCGCGCGCGTGATCTTGCCATCGTCGCTGTGCTGGGCCGCCTCACGCACAATAACATCAATGATATCCATCTCACGCATAATGTTCTGGAAGGCACGGACGGTGGCATAGGAGATCTTGGTACCGGCGGAGATGTTGCACAGACTGGGGAGGTTTTCCAAGACATAGTCGGACAGCTTGTGCTTCGAGGTTTCGAGGATGATGCGCTGGAAGTCTTCGGGCTCGATGTAGCCATCACCGTCCTTGTCAAAAGCGTGGAAAGCTTGCCTAATGCGTTCTCCCTGCAGACCGCGAAGCATCTGGGAGAATTGAGGGTACGTCATGTCGTGTCGGCGCTTTGTCTTTCCAGTGTAAAGGGAAGCCCATTCTGAGTTCCAATCGAACGGGATGCTGTCGCTGCTCTTGCTCAGGTTGCACACTTCCTTGAAGGTGTCCCATTTCACGGTGCCCGTTCCTTCCGTGTCGAACAATCTAAAAGCGATCTCGTATTCCGCGTCGGGTTTGTCCAGGAGGTTCTCGAAAGTCGTCCAGTCGGCAAGGCTGACTTTGCCGGATCTGCGCCTGTCGGCGACCATGAACAGAACGCCATAGTGTTCGCGTTTGATTTTGTGCTATTGTGAGGCAAGTACCGACATGCATTAGCCAAGCAGGAACCCTTGCGAATCGTATGACACATACAGCACAATCTGGGGGATGAGCGGCAAGGATCAGGATGACTCACGTAGTCTTCATATTTGGGAGCGATGGCATTGACGAAGTCCTCCTGGCTCATGTAGAGCTCTCCCGTCTCCTCGTCTTTGCGTGCATGGCGCAGGAAATTGCTTTTAATCTGCTGCGATGGCTGGGGCACCTGGGAGGTGCCCACCAAGGATTCCTTGACTGCGTCCTTCACACTAGCCATGGTGTAAAATACAGCAATCTATGAACAAACGCCAAAGATGACAGATGCAATTCCAAAAGAAACCCAACGGAGCGACAAAAGAACGGAAAGGAAACCACGCAAATTAGGCAAGCGAGGGGAGGAGTGGGATTAAGAAGGGGTTGGGGATAGAGGAGGGAGTGGAGAAGGGGGATTAAGACAAAAATAACGGGGGAGCGAAAGTGCTTTGCGCCTGAGCGATAATCGATCGATCAATAATAATATTTTAATTCCCGGGGGTGGGCAGAGTGAATCATACACTGACAGCTGTGAGCTGCGCAGAAAAATTATGGGGCCCAGCAGTAAGTAAAGAAGGCAAGAACCTGACTTTTACAGGATTTTAATTGACTATTTGCGGTTTTAACTAATTTTTTCGTTTTGCTTTTTTGGTCAATTTCTGTTACCCTTTTTTTATTTTCACATTCATCAGCACAAGCCTCACCTGGACAAACGGATAAAAAGTGTCTTTTTATTTTTATTTTTTTCAATTTGCCTGATGACCTTGGGGCTGAGAGGGCGAATCAACCAGCAACATCGGGCGATCTCACCGCCCCTGGCTGGCATGCATGTTGTTATCTAATTAACCGCTCCGGTGAGGCCTTTTCTTATGCTTATGGCCTTATGCATCGGACTTGGCCCCGAACCCTGGTCAAGTGCGGCTTCCTGGCTTATTTAACTCCGCACGCAAGACCCTCACTCCCCTCACAAGGCATTTCATATACACGTCTTGATGCTGTGAGATTGCCAAATGGAACGATATATCTATCATGAGAGACCATTTTCATATGAATCAAACTTTTTTTTAAGAAATTTCTCCTGTCCGAAAGCTAGTTCTCTCGAAACAATGGAAAGCCACGCTGACCCAAGGGACACACCCTCGATCCACGCCCCCTCACGGATCACGGATTTCGCCATGGACGACCAACTTCTCTCGGCGTGCCACGGTAACTCCGGAACTTTGGCCACCTTCGATAAATATGATAACCAACCACTGGGTCCCCCTTAAGCCAGACAACCAGGATCTGAAGCACTTTCCAACTTCCCTCCCAAGAGTAGCGATTCCGTTATCTAACGGAGTAGGGTGGTCAAGATGCATCTCAATTCTTCAGCGAGAGTAGCGAGCCCATAGCAACTTGGGGTATGCGACCCCTCTATCGGGGTTCATCTGCCACCAAGACGCGGCATGCGACCCGATCTCGGAGAACCACCATCAACGTACAGCTGAGGGTCAGACCGGATTTGGGTTTCCAGGTGAACAGCATCCGCACATCGACGAGTGATACTGTAGTAATTCAAGGCTTCCGCGCTTCACATGACATCGCCGTCTGACACACAAGAATTGGAGTCTTTTCTCCCCGTCTCGGGCCGATTCATTTGGCTTACCCGCGAATGAGATGAGCTGCTTCCACGAGGTGCGTCTCCGGCTCGGTGGGGACTCCGGGACAAGCAGGAGAAACTAGATGGACTAGGAGCTGATAGTCTATTCATCTTACCTAAGGATTAGACCTTCCCCATATTCATGGGCGTGTCTATCCCCCAACTAAACGAGCCTCGGACCTGGAGAACCCGGGGAGGCTTGATTCCACTGTGGCTCAGCAGGTCGTCAAAGCGTATGTATATACGGGGAGCCGCAGGTTTGTGCGCGCCTTCAAAGCCACAAAGTAATGAACAAGTGACAATCGTAGACGAAACCCGGAGAGGAAGGTTGTACCGAAATCCCCCGGAAGAAGAACACCTAAGCATGGCCTCTAGCCTAAGGCACCAGGGGGGAAAGGGTAAAAGACACGGGACCATAATTTCTCCGAGAGAAGACACGGCGCCACTCCACCTGGCATTACCAGGTCTCGACCTCGGCCTTACTCCGACCAGCACTTCTTCTCCGAATAGCTGTTCTCTCACGCGATCAGGAGGGATCTTCCCCAAGATTGGAAAGAGTACGGAGTAGATAGGCAGCCCTTTCACCGAGAAATATGTAGTCTTACATAGTAGTATCATGTCAGTCAACATCAACTCAACAAGTAAATGCAACTACCTCAACTAGTTCTAAAAACTCCATGCTATATCCAATACACACCGAGCCCTGTTTTGGTCACCACATATTCTACTATCATAAGTTGTTTGTTTCTCTAACTTACCGTTCATAGTGCTAAAAGTGACTAGCACCTACAAACAAAAACAAACATGTTCAATACCCAGCATAGTGCGATTACTATCCGTAGTAACATGCATAATATATGCTCTCGCTTTCCCAACGAAAGGCTAATCCATACATAATATTGGATAATCATCTACACTATGACGTCCTGGCTGTTCATAGACCTTCAGAAAGAGGGATATGTAAATTTTTATCTCACGCATATATACTTACTACATCTATCAAAGATCTCCACAATCATCCACACCTGCTGAATATATTCGTACACCACCAGAAGTAAGGATCAATATCAACATATGAAGGGGGACTGAAATTTAATTAAAAAAGAGAAAGAAAGGAAAGAAAGAGCCCACACTATCATACTGGTTGTCCTCAATCATCCAAGGCATACAAAAAACAAAAAAGTAAATATAACTATCATTTCACTACTTCATAGTCCTCATATCCTTTGCCTGTTCACCGGTATACATGATTAGTTTTTACTTCTAGTAAATATGTAACACCTGTTGATTTCGTTTCTTTTCAGATAGACGGAAACTGGTGTAGCTAGTTTGACTCATTTGCTCACCTCTGAGCAATAGATCAATAGGGCTGCGTGAGGGAGCTGACTCGCTGTTATCTATTCTCGGGCAGCTTGGAAGTTTTAAACTGAGTTTGCCTGTACGATACGGTTGACAAGACAGACACTCTGCCTGTGTACATACGCGATCCAAGTGTAGGTTGATTAACGATGACTATGTACTCTCCACCAAAGAATATTAACTCAAGTAGGAATAACGATATAGATATTCTAACTCCAAGTTCCCAAGACTGTATACCGGCAGGCTAGGCACCTCTGGCGGCCTAGGGTTTCTCTATACGCAACAACCTGAAGAGTGCTCTTTCCACAGGAAGAAGATATAACATGACGGCGTTAAATCTAAATGCCGTGAGCGTCACACATGCACCGACGACAGCATCTAGAATGAAGTGATTGGCTGTAGCAACGATAGTAAGTCCCATGAGCATGGGCCAGATGGGCGCCACAGCTCGAAGGTACCAATGCGGACTGAACTTAAGCAAGCAGAGTGCAATGAACATCGAGTTTCCAAAGTGGAGCGAGGGCATCGCTGCAATTGTGAGCTGGAATTTGTTCTGCGTCCAGGCTGAGCCGCCTGCATTGCTGTGCAGAACATCGATGAAGCCGTACTCTTCTGGCAGCAGGCGAGGTGGCATGCACCTCCACAAGGTAAGGATGGTGAAGGCGATGACGTTCTCGAACGCCAGTGTACGCCTGATTGCTTGATACTTGTCTCGTTGGATGCAGGTATAGCAGTAGACGATGAATATCACACCGAGGACAATATGTGAATAGTATACTCGAGCCAGGAACCCCATGAGCCATGGCTTCTGCTCAAGCACATACCTTTGTACGGATAGCTCGACATCGAGGTGAAGGAAGTGCTCGAACGAGAGGATGGAAAGGGCATGGCGCTCAGCGGTGTCGAAAATAGCCTCATGGCCACTGATCATCCTAGCGGAAAACGCCCGTAAACCTTGATAGATCTATGCACACAGTCAGCAATGCGTGGTACTACAGGAAGTGTGCCTTGGGCATCAAGATGTGTCTCACCCAATATGTGAGTAGCCAATACCATATTTCCAACAAGAAGGGGAATTTGGCAAGGATCCGTGATTGTATGGTTCGGCGGTTTCGAATTGTGCGCTCATCAGAGTCCTCATCGTTTGGCTTTATGTCCACTGGAGGAGCTTCCAGCAGTGGTGACTCGATATCCGGCGTAGCGAGGAGCTTAGCGTTCTTGCGCCGATTGATGAGTGCTCCTGCGGTGAAGGCGGCGACAATCGCTACAGCAGGACGAGACCATGAGTATGCTTCTTCGGATGATGCGGATTTGCAAGTAGCAGGGATATAACTTACCCGCAGGCTCTAGAATGTTCTTCACCGCGCCCATTTGTGATGTTCAAGGTATGGAAACCAGGATTAGGTCATGTACACCGGTGGTCGAGGTTACCCTGCACTGCAGGCGGAAGCTTCGCATACACTGGAACTTAACGATGAGCCCAGCAAATGGAACTGATGTGTTGTCTCGAGTCTGACACCAGACGATCTACCTTGTCTGAAGTCTTGCAACAAGATCCCGGGAAGCCAGTCGGAGAAAAAGGAGAAAGGGGAGCCAAGGTGACAACGAAGAATTGAGTTGAGAAGTTGTCGTCATCCGTGGCTGCCATACTTCCGTGCATACCTGGCGCCTGGTGGGGTTTGGCGTGTTTGCATGGGCCCTACAAAAGGAAAAAAAACAGGGCGGGCAGGCAGGTGAGTTTGACTAGTCTGCTGGGTTAGGCAGACCCATCACTCTGTCCAGCAACCATCAACGCTCTAACGATTTCCAAGAAGTTATGGAGAAACTACTAATCACTTATGGACCACACCGAGGTAGGTCACACGCGGTATTACCTCTTTTGAGAGCCACTCTGGTCTGGGCCCGAATTTAGCGGCGGTTCATCCAGGATCCATCGTATCCGTATCCGAAGAGAACCGATGGCCGGATCGGGCTGCCACTGCTCTGCTTCGTTTCAGCCACCATGGCGGGTAAGGCTGGAGTTCAACCGTTGCAGAAGTTCGTATCTAAATTAGCGACAGGTACGGAGTACATTGAGTGAGATGGTGATCATAGTAGTACCGGCAGTGACGCCCAGAGAGCCAAGTGCGTCTCGATCGCGCTTTATTGGTTCCTACCATGCGCTAATTCCTTCGACCGAAAGCTTCGCCGATCTACACTGACAACAACTCTTTTCCTCATCAATGTTTGTATTCTCTATTTCTTTCTTAATCTTGTGCTATCGCTCAACAATATGAAGAGGGGGAATATAGTCAATGCAATGCGTTTGGTACAGTGGAAAGTTGGTTCATTCTTTTCATGTTTGCCGATCGGAGCCCTCTTAGCGTAACTGCTGGCTACGACATATACCTCGAATCTGCATGGTGGCCCCTTTCTGTACAACACCCATTAAGTATGCTCTCATATTATAATGTAGCATATAATGCAGAATATTTGGGATCGCACGGTATAATTCAGGCCACTATACTGCATTTTATAAGGTAGACAGTATTTATGAAGTTCTACTAGGTAGCAGTTCTCTGGGTTAAGCCAACCCGAGCACTACGGACGACCTAGGCTTTATGCAGACTAGTTTTGTCTTCTCGATACATCCCATATATCCGACCAATTGTCTTGGTTTTTCTCGAGGCAAAGTCCAGAATTCAAGCTACTGTCAAGGTTTAAAGGCTCTTTCTTGCTGGTAGTTCTCGTGATAAAAAAGGGGTTCGGCCGCAGACCCTGAGATCCCCACCAGATAGACTCATCTTCAAGGGTTCCGTTGATAAGATATAGTAGGGAAGAGCTCTGCCATCGGTTATCAGAAGAGTGCGCGAGCTATATACTAAACCTTATATGGTCGTCATATATTACTATCTCGAGAACATGGTTTTGATATCATTTATATCCGTCAGCTGTGTTTAGCACCACGTATATTTTCTATTATTGTATATTTCCCATAACATGTGATGAGTCAAGTGCTCGCACAAGTTTATGAAAGCACAGCGGGATGTCTGTGTCGGATAGAATTCAACTCTATTGAGCATACGATCAGTATTGACAAACAAATAGCTGGGCTATTATCGCCTCTCTATCTACTAGTACATTCTTGCAAGCACGAGCGTCATGTGGTAGGTTGGCTGGTCATAGAACCACTAAACTTCCTGTGAACTGAGTACGACTCACAGCTTATATTCAGATTGTGCAAGATCTTCTAATAGGCTGTAAGCTGAGGTTCAATGCAGAATATTTTAAGGTTATCAGTGGATGGGCGAATGGCATGCTGACAGACCTTGCTGCCTTGCTGCTCAGTTGATAAGCCCAGGCCCATAGCGTGCTGTTACCGTCAAATCTAGAGAGGAAAGAGAAAGCCGCGATCTTACTACTGTTCCTCAGTGCAAAGACTTTTTAGGTAGGTTAATATATCTAGATGCGTAAAAGAAGATAACCAGGTCGCTGGGAAGAAACAGGGACGGTTCTCGGTGGGGCACCAGGGCGGCTAAAAATACCAAGCCTTGGAGCGCTACCAAAGAGATTCGTCATTTCTCCCTCGCCAAGTTTCGGCCATGGCAAGTGTCCTCCACCAGTCCACCATCACTCAAGTGTCCCTCCCCATTGTTAGTCTTGGAGGTCTGAACCCTTTGCAGCACCCTTTTGCGACCACCATCATGCAATCTATTGACCGTCGATCATGCCTCTTCCTGGATATCCTCCAGGGCTGTCACAGTCACAGTGATCAACTAGGGCCATGACCCACTAATACTGATTGGGCTGAGAGTACACCGAGATGCAGACTGCTGACGGCAGAAGGGAAAGACTGACCCGTGAACCACAACACTCATCCCGCGTCGAAAGGGGACTAGAAGACCTAGCCAGATTTCCTGCTGCAAATGCAGTGGATCGTAAGGCGAGGTTGGTGGCCTTTTTACGGGCTGCGAAGCGGATCGCATCACCAGTCAGACCCCCTCTCCTCCAAGTCTCTAAGTGGGCGCTCCACCCGGAACACGTACCAATAGGCCCCAGTGCAATAAATTAATCCCAAACGGGCCAAGTTGCCCACCCCCCAAACTGGCTATTTTTCTAAAATGGTTTTGGCGCCGGGGCTCGTCGCCTTTCCAAAGCACCACGACCCGGTTCGTTTCTTATCTCATTCCTCATCGACTCTCCTCCCGCCCAGCCCGGATCCTCGCGCAACCAGCCGCATCATCGGAAAAAGAGGACCCTGAATACCGCTTTTCTTCCATCACACTGTGTCGACAAGTCAATCAGCTGCGATATCCGTCGATGGGCAACCCTGAAGTGACCCTTTTGTGCCTTCCCAATTCTCGAGCGCCTCACTCCTGAACACTTCCTCCAGCCATGTCGAATCGCGGTTGAATGCGGTGACTGGTTTTTGATACCAGCCATATCCCTCCTGTGATCTATGCTAGGCAACTTTGACAAATGTGAAGGACCGAGGAACGATGACAACAGAGCTTACCCGCGATGCTCCTCAAATCCGGACTTCAGGATGGCTTCCGCGGACCTTGCGCCGACGATACTTGATTCCGTTGGCCTGCCTCATGTTCTTCATGCTGTTGGTGACTGAGTTTCTTCGACAACTGGGCAACAATGAAGGCAGTCTCAGTCTCTTTACCTCGACTGACCAACTCACCGACACCCGAAAATTCGCCTACACCTACGTTCCCACGATCCTGAGCATGGTTATCGCAGTCTTATGGTCCCTCGTTGAATATGACGCTCTTCGGCTCGAACCGTACTTCCAACTATCAAGACCCCAAGGGGCTCCGGCTGATGTGCTTCTTCTCAACTACGAATTCGGTCACTATACAACCGCGCCGTTCTTTGCCACGAGGAACCGCCATTGGCTTGCGGTCTGTATCTCAATCCTGAGTATCCTCCTGCAATTGGTATTCCCGTCGTTGCAAAGTAGTCTTTTCAACATGGATGATGCTACCGTCTACAAGAATCAGCACCTTCAAACATGGCCGACTATCGTGAACCTCGAAGAGCAGGGGTCCTTGGTGGATAACAGCATCCAGAACACGACCAGCATTCGAGACCATCGCGACCTGTCTTATAGTCAGCCGGAATCGAGCAAGTACGCCATGGCACCGGTGGCTATACCATTAGATGTTCAATACGACACGAAAATGTGGGAACTCACGCAATCCATCTATTGGACAGAGTTATCCTGTACTGAGATCGACGTGGAAGATGCCGTAACCATTGATGTATCCTCCAATACTTCCTCATTCGGTATCGGATCTCCCACTAGACAACCCTTGATCTGGAACCTCTACGACGTGTCAACAACCGATAATTGCACCCTGGAACTCAGCGAGGAAATCACCATACCGCCGACAAACTCATCTGTGCAGATCTCACACTGGCAGCCGAACGCATCCACAACTAGTATTACCAAGCAGTGTGCTTCTTTCGACCTAATCGGACTGACAGTGGACGTCAGTCTCAATAAATCCAGTGAACTTGATCGCCAGAAATCCGACTATTCGAGCTCTGATTACAACCATCAGGTCAATGGATTTGGCTGCAAGCTTGTCTATCTGACCTCGGAAGCTGGCATCTCAGTGCAAGTAAATGGTTCGCTTTCAATCGTTGATCTGCATCCGAACTCGACTACAGAGGTCTCAAGAGCTTCTCTCAATACTACCCACTTCAAAGGCATAATTTTGCAAGAGGTGGCCTCCACCAATGGCACTTCCACGTTCAATAAGAAGCCAGTGAGACCATCCACACTTCATCGCGATCTTATCTCGAAGCTGGAAACTAGCGTTCAAGGCGCTTTTGTACCGTTGATGAACAGGATCTTCGATCTCACCAGTCAGTCACACTATGTGCAAGCTTCTCATGTGACACATCAGATGGCCATCATTGTTGGCCCGGTACAGTCCTTCCTCTCCGAGGCAATCCTTCTCTTCGGAGTGGTGATGGTTTTGTATTTGGCCTACACCTACCCAAATCGCCCGAATATGCTTCGAAGTGACCCAGCTTCTATCGCATCCATGTGTGGTATCATGGCCGATGTCATTGATGCTTCGTGTCTGTCTCACTTGAACCTAGATCAGTTGTCAACCAGACAGTTGAGGACCATTCTCAAGAACTATACTTGCCGCTGGCAGCAAGCTTCTGACCCTCCCCGTATTTGTATTGAGCCATCTGCTGGTAAGTCTCGCACTAATTGTGATTTGCCTCGGTGAGGGCCTCATAAAGCAGACATTTTGACACTGTTTAGTTCCTCGGTCTCAAAGACAGATCTTTCAAGGCAAACCCGATCCAAGACCTCATTTCCTCCTTATGCCAATTTTCGCTCTTGAAATATTCCTCTTTATAGC